TTGTGATTTTTGATCCAAAAAACTTTTTTGTTTCTCGAACTTTGCCCATCGACATGGTACTCATTTTCAGCTGAAATTGACCCAGAAACCCGAATATGTGAGCGAAATTGCGGTTCATCCAATGGTTTTCGAAAAACTTGAAAATTTTGCCATAAAAACGGGACAATTTCTATCCTCGACCCGCCAGGGAAATTTTGATGGCTAATTCGTGTTTTCGAGACGATTTTAGCATAAAATGAGTACCATGTTGACGGGTGTTTCTTTCTTTAATTTGGAATTTTTTGAAAATTTGAAATTTTGAATTTTTTTTGGAAATTTTCCCTATCGACATGGTACTCATTTTCAGCTGAAATTGACCCAGGAATCCGAATCTGTGAGCGAAATTGCGGTTCATCCAACGGTTTTCGAAAAACTTTTTCGAATTTTTTGAAAATTTGAAATTTTGATTTTTTTTGGAAATTTTCCCTATCGACATGGTACTCATTTTCAGCTGAAATTGTCCCAATAAGCCGAGACTTGACCGATTTCCGCATTTTCAGGTACATGCATGAGGCGTTCGAGTTCTACGAGGACACGCTGTCGAATCGCTACCCGTACTCGTGCTACAAGCAAGTGTTTGTGGATGAGGCCTATGAGGACTATCACTCCTACGCGACAATGACGATTTTGAGCGTGAATCTGCTGCATTCGGCCGTGGTGATCGATCAGGTGTACCTGACGCGCAAAGCGATGGGCCAGGCGGTGGCCGAACAGTTCTTCGGCTGTTTCATTTCGATGCAAAACTGGTCGGATCTGTGGCTGAACAAGGGCATCAGCCAGTACCTGTGCGGGCTGTACTGCAAGAAGAGTTTCGGCAACAACGAGTATCGCGACATGATCCATGGCATGCTGCAGGACGTGGTTAAGTACGAGGAAGAGTATGGAGGGATTATATTGGGTGAGGATGATGCAGGGTGGGCGTGGCCTGGGCAGGCGTTGGCTGATTGGTGGGCGTGTTTTCCAGATCCGAGCCAACCGCCGGCGCCGATGCCGCTGGGCGCGAATCCGCCGCAGGCCAATCAGAGCAAGAACGAGGAGAAGTTCTACTTTTCGATTCGCAGCCTGCACACGATGTCGTCGATGTACATCGAGGCGCTGCACAAGAAGGCCATGCTGGTGATGCGCATGCTGGAGCACCGGATTGGACTCGAGTTGCTGCTGCAGGTGAGTGGAATTTTGCGCTAGCGCGCTTCAGGTTGGTCGCAGCTCGGTTTCGATGCGAAAATCCGCTTTTTGGGCCGATTTCAGCTGAAAATGAGTACCATGTCGATGGGTCTAGGACACGTTTCGAACAAACCATCCTCAACCTGAGTGGGTTATTTTCAGAAATTTACCCATCGAGTTGGTACTCATTTTCAGCTGAAATTGACTCAA